TCACCACACTTGTTCAATCTGTATACTAGAAATAATCAGAGAAACTGGAGTACTGGAAGTAGAATGCAGAATCAGGGTTGGAGGAAGACTTATTAATAGTCTGCAGTATACAGATGGCACAATTTTGCTTGCTGATAGTCAAGAACACCCCAAACACTTGCTAATGAAGATCAAGAATTACAGCCTTTGAGATGGATTACAATATAATATAAAGGACACAAAAATCCTCACAATGCCATGATTGACAAACTTAAATACTACAAAGTCATCACAAATACGTGAGGACATTCTCTAAAATGTTGAGGGTTCTCTAATCCACATACATCAATTCAAATTTCAAACTCCATCTTGCTGAATGAGAAATTTAAAAATAAATATTAAAAAACGTATTACCTAAAGATAATGTATAACTTGTCAATAAACAATAGCAATGAAAATGTTGCCACTGAGTAGATTCTCGCTAGTGGTGATTGCATGCGCACTACAGTAGAACTGGGCTCCACTGTCTTTTCAGTGGGTGGTGTTTGGGAAGTAGACTATTAGATCTCTAGACTGAGGCACTTCTGATTGGACTTGAAACTCCAACCTTTTAGTTATCAGTCAAGTACAGGGCCGTTGATTAGTCAATAACTCAGAGTAATGAACAGTGAATCTCAACTTGAATGTAGGTCTCCCAACACACAGCTGAGTGTTGTTGCATTTATAATACACAAGTGTCACCTCTCAATCTGTGGCATAAATGGTATTCTGGTTTATCTACTTATAAGAAACTTCATCCTTTGCAATGTCCTTCTGAATGACTCTTTTACCTCCTTGTTTCTCAGACTGTAGATAATCGGGTTCAACATGGGGATTACTGCTGTGTAGAACAATGACAGCACTTTATTGATGTTCAGGGAGAAGCTAGAGCTGGGTCGGACATAGATAAAAAAGAGTGTCCCATAGAGGATGGAGACAGTTGTCAGGTGGGATGAACAGGTAGAGAAGGCTTTGCGCCGCCCAGCGGCAGAACCAACCTTCAGGATGGCAGCAATGATGTAGATGTAGGATACCAAGATGATCCCTCCACTGAGTACTCCCAGAGCGCCAGCCAAGAAGAAAAGTAACTTTTTATTTAACTGGGTGTCTGCACATGCCAGAGAGAGAACAGGAAGAAGATCACAGAAGAAGTGATTGATGATGTTTGAATCACAGTAGGGGAGGCCAAAGGTGAGTGTCGAATGGGTCATCATGCTTATAAAACCCATAGCATAAGGTCCTATCACCAGCTGCACACAGATTCGGTGAGACATAATGAGCATGTACATCAAGGGATTGCAAATGGCTACATACCGATCATAGGCCATGGAAGCCAGGAGGAAGCATTCAGTCACTACAAACTGACCAAAGAAATATATTTGTGCAGCACAACCAAAGAAGGAAATGACTTTTCTGTCTGCAAAGATATCAGTCAGCATCTTGGGACCCATGACAGAGGAGGAGCAGACATCCACAAAGGACAAGTGGCTGAGGAAAAAGTACATGGGGGTGTGGAGCCGGGAATCCATCCAAATGAGGGAGACCATCCCCACATTTCCCAGAAGAGTGACAAGATAAACACAGAAAAATATCAGGAAGAGAACAACCTGGTAGGGGAAGTGATTCGTTAATCCAATGAACAAAAATTCAGTCACCAATGTTTGATTTCTGTAATCCATCTCTTCCATGTATTCTGTATTGAGAAAAAGAAAGAGTGTTTTCTCATTTTGTATTGTTTGTTGTTTTCTTTGCAAAAAAATCTTTACAATTTTATATCTGAATTTGCATAGGGTGCTCAGAGAGGGGCGAGTTCTGGACCTAGCTGTGCTATCCACAATCTGCTCTCCGGTGACACCAGCTCAGGGTCTAGGATTGTAGTCCAGGTTGTCTTGCAATCTGCTAACATGCTCAGGAGGACACTGAAAAAGTCGATGAAGCCCGGTTCCTCTCATTTTTCTTCTTCCTTAAGGGAGGATATTTTAGAGGATCTTAGAATTTTAGAGCAAGACATTACCTTTGGAGATTATCTAAGGCAAGTCTTTGAGCTGTTCCAGATAACTTTTCCGCAGATGCCTACTTTGAATCAAGGCTATTTAAAGAAACATTTTCTAGGAAAAGGTATTATTTGCATTCAATGTATTAGATTTATCCCCACCCACAGAAAAGTAAGAAG